TTATAATGTTACCAAAAATGTCTAATTCAAGTAAATGCTGTTCTTTTGAACTTTCTATTCATCACGGCATCAAAGTATAACAAAAATATTAAGCAGCACAACTGTTTTCAACTTTGAAAATAATAATAAATGATTCTTGAGCACCAAATAAGCATATTATTAGATTTCTGAAGGATCATGTGACTGAAGACTGGAGTAATAATGCTGAAAATTCAGCTTTGCAGTGAATATACAGTCTTGCAGTTTAAAATATAGGCTACTGACTTAGAAAACAGTTATTTTAAATTGTAATAATATTTCACAATATTAATGTTTTTACTGTCTTTTTGATCAAATAAATGCAGCTTGGTGAGCAGAAGAAACTTTTAAAAACAAAAAAATCTTACTGACCTTAAACTTTTGAAAGTGTGTGTAGAGATCCATAGTGTATGTAGAGATCCATACTGATGTTCATTTGGTCACATTGACGTAAAATATATATTTTTCTTTTTATTTAAGTTTTTTATTTATTTTTGGAAGACATGACTGAACTTTATAGCAGTCTCTATTATTGTTATGTTGATATATATGAAGAAATATGGAGTTATACTGTTTCCTATCTTGTCTAATTAAAACTGTCTAATCTCTTTCATCTAGCCATGAACACTGTGTTGCTCAGCAACCTCTTCTCTCTCCCGCGGATTGTGTATGCCATGGCGGAGGACGGCCTCTTCTTCTCTGTCTTTTCTCGTGTCAACCCTGTAACCAAAGTCCCGGTGATCGCCATTCTTGTTTTTGGCAGCCTTATGGCATTTCTTGCCCTCATCTTTGATCTAGAAGCACTAGTCCAGTTCCTCTCTATCGGCACTCTGCTTGCTTACACTTTTGTAGCGGCCAGCATCATCGTGCTCCGCTACCAACAGGATAAATGTACTGGAAGCTCCGGAGGAATCAAGACCGATGCTTCATCCACACCTTCACTGAACCAGTCAGGGCAGCAGCTGGATCCATCTGTGGCAGTGAACGAGACCCAGACCTTTGCACAGGACAGCGGAGAGCCGAAGGAGTATGAGTCATTCTCTGATAAACTTCAGCTGGTGGAGAGGCAGAAGGCGATGAAGGAGAGACGCGCTGCTGGGACACTGAAGGCTCGCTGGGAACCGTATCTGGGCCGTATACTGGGGGACTGTGAGCCGGGGGAGGTGGTGGCGTTCTCTGTGCTGGCTCTGATGGTCAGTGCAGTCTCTTTAAGTGCTGTGTTGGTGTTTGGGAGTAACCAGCTGCATCTGCCTGTGTGGAGCTTCACCCTTCTGCTGGTCATCTTCAGTCTGGTCTTCCTGCTCAGTCTGGCTCTCATCTGGGTCCATGAACAGCAGCCCAATAACAAGACCTTTCAGGTTAGTTACAAATACTGCAGTAATGAGGTAAATGGACATCTGGTAAGACAAAACCACAGATATTATACAGTTAAAGGGTTAGTTTACCAAAAAAATAAAACTCTGTCATCAATTACTCAGTGTCATGTCATTCAAAAACCATAAGATTTTCATTCATCTTTAGAACACAAATGAAGTCATTTTGAATAAATTGTGAGAGATTTCTGTTCCTCCATTGAAAGTCTGTTCTCCCAAAACTCTGATGTTCAACAAGTTCATAAAGAGATAGTAAAATAAATCCATATGAATTTAATTTAGGATTGTATTCACATATTGATCAGGGAAAATATTCACATATCGATCAGCAAACATGCATAGAGCATTCTCTTTATGAACTAAGTTTTGGGTGATTAGACCTTTCATGGAGGGACAGAAATTTCTCAGATTTCCTTAATTGGAACAAAATAAGTAATTGATGATAGAATTAAATTTTTGGTTGAATTATCACTTTTACAAAATGTATTGCTCACATGATTAGTTGAATTTAGTGTATTACTGAAGCAAATATGTTTTTATGCACACACATATTTGTCCTGTGTGGAAGCCTAAATCATATGTTACAATTGCTTATACTGTACAGTTGTGGTCATAAGTTTATATACACCTTGCAAAATCTGCAAAATGTTAACTGACTGAGCTTTTGAACTCAAATGTGTAATGAGTGACAACCGATAAGTACTAAGAGCATTTAGGAGTGAACTGAGGATATTGATATCTGATATAAAATCATGCAAAAAAAAATCAGTCTAAAGATGTAAATAGATTTCAGCATTGTTTAAAGCAGCACTAGGTAACTTTTCAACCTTCATAATATATTTCCAAGTCTCTTGTGATGGTACATCGACTTACAATAGGTTGAATGACACGTCTGCCATAGCCTGACGGGGTCTGTAGCGTTTTTAATCGTACTTTTAAACTTCGGGTTTCGTGTAGTAACCGGCGAACAAAGAGAACTACAAAATTCGACTGCTTTACGGCATATACGTCACTTCCCCCACTTACTCAAATTCTTACACGAGAGCCCAAGAAGCGTTTTTTTTTTACCTCTGTATGTTGTCATGGCCGAAGCAGCAAGTAAAACCAAGAAGCCAAAGGTTTTGTCGGAGGACAGTCGAGAAAAAGGGAGAGTGACAAAATAAAAGGCTGGACGAGGATCAATATTGGTCCAGTGTTCGCTCGCTGGCGTGAGCTAAAGGAGGAGGAGGGGTGCATGCCCGATGCTGGCCGTCAACAAATAAATAAATCAGTAAGCCTATGTCTTAACGGTGTGTACAAGTTTGGTAGGGGCTACATTCTTGCAAGTAAATAATACATGATTAGACGGACAAAATAATCTTTCAGGATAACTATGTCTGCAGGCTGATAGTCATGTTTGTTATTTATTTTTCTGGTGAAAGTGTCTTGCCTCAGGCTATAATGCAAATACATTTTTACAAATTTGCAGATTCATCTATGGTAGCTTGATATTATAATATTGACGATATGGCTATTACCTATCACACAAACATTGAATTGAATTAGCATATCTATTATGTAAAACAGTAGCCAATAGGCTACTATAAAGACGCTGGCTTGTAAACGTGAGCTACGCGATCTTTTGGCGTTATATGCCAATGTACCTGGGATGAAGACATTTCACACGCAACGCTGGCAGTCTGCCCAAGATGTGAGAACTCCTTCTGCAGAGTTCGGGGGTATCGCTTGTCAACATGCACGCTTGTATGGGATCAAATTCCCGCCAAATGTATTGCGGCCACGGATCAAAATATAATACGCGTGAATCAAAAATTGACAAACATGAATAAAAACTTTAAACACATTAAAAAATATTTTTCACAAAACTTTAACTTGTGTTCATGCTTTCTTTAAAATGATGTTTTCCTTGGTTTTATTACTGTACTTTGCGCTCTCTTTCATTTTCTGCTCATAATTTATTTTTTTGTATGCTTGTGCTGTTTTTCTCTTCGCTCTTCTTTCCATGTTCTGCGCTTGCTCTTCCAAATGTTGCAGTTCGAGTTTCATGTAAATTAGGGTGGGCTTAAGCGTCACCATTGGTCCACTAGTTCTAGATTGACAGCTCCTCCTCTTGCCAATCTAACGAAGAGGGGAGTTGACGTCACTCCAATGCGACTCACGCTACTGATGCTCACTCGTAGCTACAGGTGAAGAAGATAACCACCAGCTCAGCTGGCAAAAATCTTTCCGTGGCAGGACACCGTTAAACTGTATGTGTGCCTGCAACTCGACCTGTTACATCTACCTGGCGATCCGTTATCGTTAAATTCGTCACCCTAACGACGACAACCTGTTGTGTCGTCAGTTGACAGTTGTGCCTGTCTGACGATCCATCATATTCACCTTTAATGCCCTGGCCTTACTTCTGGACCTGGCACTGTGAGCGTCGATCTCCTGCGAGCCACACAACAGTGTTTCATTAAAGAATTCCTGATTTGAACGAGAAGTTTGAATGATTGACTCACTCATAAAGATAGTAACTTTCCACCACCTACTGGCCGTTTTACTTTCATATTTAATCTATGACATGGAAGGGCAATGTCGGTCCTGGGTGCAGAGTTTAGCTCCTCCAACCCTAATCTAACACACCTGAACCAGCTAATCATCATCTTAAGGATTATTAATACTGCTGCTAGGTTTTTATCGGAGTTGACGCTAAACTCTGCAGGACAGCGGCACTCCAGAAACGACGTTACCTATCCCTGATCTTTTCAATAATTTTCAGGTTGCTGTATTAAAAATTGAAGCTATATTTAAAACAATCCTAAAGTAATATGCAATTATGTAGCTAAATGAACACAATAACTAGGCTATAATAAATCACTGCATATCAAATCCACCTGGTTTCTGTAATCTCTGTAGGCTACACTATAATTTTCATTCATATTTTGTCAAATATTTCAGGGCGTATTTAACTGTAACGGATCACCATGGCTGTGTTTTTTTTTTTTCTTTTACAAAGGCTACAGGTTTATTTAAAATTTTAATGGAATTTTTTTGTTCTTTTGTTTTACATACTCTGAACTGTACCACAAATGCCTTTGTATTTGTCTTGCACTTTTTGCACTGCACTCAAAAAAATGATTCATTGGATGAACTCAATTTAGTTGTGGGCAGGATTTCCATCCAATAAATATATGTAGTCCCAACTCAAACTGAGTACATCCATTCAACAGAATGTAAATCAGTCAGCCTAACTCATTTGTATCAAATAGATGCAAAATAATATAAACGAGTGAGGCTAACTTATTTTTATCAAATACTTACAACAGTATGTAATTGAGTTAGCCTAACTAACTTTTACCAAATACAGCTGAAATAAAATAACTACATTAACTAAATGAAATTGATTTACATTTTTCCAACTCAAACTTACATAATTATTGGAAAACAAATTATTATCATCAATTAAATATATAAATAATTTTTCATTTGACCCATTCACATACACGAGACAAACCAAAATTTATGTTTTTTATTTTATTTTATTGAAATACATTTACATTTGAACTTCATTTACTTAGAGCCCCTTCACTCAAAAATGTTTTTCTTCCTGTTGGATGTTTAATGTTCGGATCACATAAATCCCCATGACTGTGGTTGCTAGGTCCCTTTCTGCATCCTCGGTCGCCGGTGCCTGAACACCACAAACACAGAAAACACAGCAAGTGTTTAATAAAGATGGACAGAGAAATAAGAGGACATAAAGTGATGCAGGGTTCCACAGGTGATGGCGACAGACATAAAAATACATCTAGAAAACATTTGTCCATTATCAACAGCACAACTTCATCCCCCAGGCCAACAGAACTCTAAACAACCTCCCCACTCCAAGCGCAGACACACTCACACACCCCCCTAAACTCAAAAACATGTACGATCACTTGTCTACACCAGTACATAAGAACACCTCTGTAGGGCTCTGTCAATATAGTGTGTAATGAGAGAAGTAAGAAGGAGTAACAGTTCAACACTACATGACAAACATATTGTGATGAATTTACCAGATATTCTTTGAAGAAGGTGTCTGGATCTTCATTGAGGTAGATGATGAGGCATCTCAGGATACACTCCCTCCTGGTGTTGATGTTGTCACGCTGAAGCAGGGGTGAAAAATTAGACCCAATTTAGCCAAATGTGGTTGTTATGGTGACACAGGGAAGGATCAGGTTGTCTAATTAAGATCAGAGGGTAATTTCAGTCTGAACAGGATGCCTAACCCCTAAATGCCCCCAACAAGCAAGTTGGTAGTTTTCTTGCATGTTTTACATTGGTGTGTGAGTATTACCCCTTTCCCACAAGGCAGAGCTGGTGCTGGTTCGGAGCCAGAGCCTAGTTTCAATTCGGTTCTTTGTTTTTCCACACGCAAAGCACCAGCTCCGAACCAGGAAAACTGGTTCTTAAGTAGCACCAAATCATTGCTGGTCTAGAACAGAGCCAAGTAAGAACCGCTTGCGTCAGGGGCTGGGGGCGGGGTTACCGTGACCAACAAGACGAATAGAAACTTGTGACCGCCATTTTTAAATAGCAGCTAGTCGAGCTAATAGCAGCTTGATTATAATATCTGTCTATGTAAGTTACGGCGAGCTGCACGAACGCGTTGGATTCCGATGTATTTTTGCAAACCCATGAGCATCCATAGTAACGCAACGTCCGTTATTGTTGATGGCTTGTTCGAGATGCATCGGAGCAGCGCGGACCGATCGGAGCTGCGGGAGTGTTTGGAGATCATACGACTCCTTGTGCTTTTGGATCGCTTTTGCAGTGCTTTGATGTCATGCGGCGATCGATCTGCGAGAAGCCGATGCATCTCGAACAAGCCTGGCGTGTTTGGCGCTACCGCACTAGCGTTGCTGGGCAACATGAGACGTATGCAGTGACGTAAGAGCTGGCTCTGTTGTGGCTCTCTAGCCGGTGGAAAGACAAACCGGTTCTTAGTAAGCTCTCATTCCTGCGTAATAATCAAGAAACTTTACTGCCGTACCATGAGTGCAGCAGGCGTAATGATATGACACAGCGCCTGAAAATAGGCTTCCTTCCGTCAACATAACGGAACTATTTTCAGGCGCTGTGTCATATCATTACGCCTGCTGCACTCAAGGTACGGCAGTAAAGTTTCTTGATTATTACGCAGGAATGAGAGTATAGTTCTTAGCCATATCAGCCTAGAAAATCGCTACTTTACATTTTCCGTCGGTCTTAGTGCACGATGTAACTACAGAAGAGTCAAGTTTTTAATAGGAAAAATATCGAAACACTTTGGTCATTTTTTTTTTGAGAAATGCTAATGGTCTTGTCCACTTCAATGATGTATGCTAAGCTATGCTAAAAGTGGTACCGCCAGAACCGGAGATCGGCTGAATGTATTCAAAAACGGTAAAACTCAACAGTTTAACTCTGGGGAGTTGTAAAATGAGCCTATTTCCAAAAAAAGTGGAGTATCCCTTTAAATAAGCAACTATGCACAATAAAACCTTACAATAACCACCCCAATACATGCAAAGGGATCTTAGATGCATTTCGACTAACCGAATCTGAGATAGACAGGACTTCCTTAATCCTCTGCCCCTTCACTCCTCCTTTGCTTTTGAAGATCTGCATCAGCTTGTTTGAGAAGTGGTCCAGCTGTGACATGAACTTTGACTGCAGTGGCTTGGTGGTGATCCTCAAACTCTGCATTTACCTGAAAAATAAACAAAATGCAGTCATTAAAATGTGTTAATTACCACCATCACATGACAATGATGCAAATAATTTTGTGCTAGCATTGAGCAAGTAATGTTAGTCTTATACCTACCATTAATAGGAGGTTGCCACAAACTGCTTTTCAACTTAAACTGCAAAAGATGAGATGCATATATTAGAGGTGTGAGCAATGGAGGAAATACTCTCCAATAAAGTAATTATTAATTATAGTCAAACACGTTAGTACATAGGTTTATATTGTAGGTTGAAGTAGAGCACCTATTAAAGGGGAAATGAAGCAGTCAATCAAGTTTACCTGATTTACAAGATGGATTTCCATTATAAACAACAATTAAATAAGAAACATGACAAATGTAAACATATAAAAGAAAAAAGAAAAACAGTTATATCTTTTGCGGCCAGGGCGCCGCCATTGTGCAGTATTCTATCCTGTGACGTCACGGGGTTGGTTGGCTTTAAAGGCTCTGGGCTGAGTTCAGTAAAACGCAGTGAAAGACATAAAACTTAACATTAAAACTACGCATAAAAAGCGTTCATCTGCTATCATATTATCATTTCAAACCTCTCATACATGTTTGCATCACACTGGCTCGTTAACAAATGCATGTTATTATTTTTTTATAGTGTTATACATTTCTTACAGATTATCACGATGATCATTGCGTTTGTCTTACCGAATGTGGTATCTTCCTGTCAGCAATTACATTTCTTCTATAAGCTTTTTTTTTAATTAATGCCGACAGTAAAAGGTTGCCAGATATAGCTACGAAAAACAAGCAAAAATGTAATATAAAAATATATAATAATCCGAAAGAAGTTGAAAGCTTGTGTTTGGAAATAAGACTAATATATCACGAACCATAACATGCAACTTCACACCTTAATAACTTCCTAAAGTGTGACATTAAATCAGAAAAACGAGTCCAGAAGACTACTGCCACGGTGTGCCACCTTTCCATTAGGTGGATCTGGCAACACGGAGGCTGCACCCGCGCCCTCACAACGCGCTCTCAAGCCCGTTCACTGCGCTAGCTTCTCACAGCTAAATGGATTGCAAACATTCATATGAGGTGGTTTAAACGGCTAATTAATCATTCAGAGAGCTTGACATTTTATTTTTGAATGTAAAAAAATTACCGAGGTCCGAACCTCTGTGGCCTCATAGCTGGCTACGGCTATGTCCACCACCGGCTGTCCGACATAGCGACGTACCACTGCTCGGTTCCCACGCCGTATCGGCTCAAATGCATAAGCAATGGGACGCACGGACTCAACAGGTCTTTCAACTTTGTCTTCCACCATTTCAAATCGAGTATTGAGTCCGATCCAGGAACGCTTCACTCACCAACGGAGCCAAGTTCAGCCAACCAACCCCGTTACGTAGGCTGTGACGTTGTAACACTTTTCAATTTTCTTTGTTGTCAACAGGTGTGTCACTATAAACGCACAAGGGGATCTTTTTAGAATGAAATCAATAATCAGAAAAATCATATACTTCAATCATAACACATTCTTGATGTTTTCCTTTATCAAATAACCATGCTCAAGCACAAATGCATGGAAATTAATGACCCACACCGTACCAAAACAAATCTTCAGACGGCGCTGAAAATCATTCAAAGGAAAAACCCATATCAACCCGTTCATTTGCTTGACGCGCTGAGCGCCATATAAACAAAAAAAAAACCCGTGCGTGTAACCCCACACTTTCCCCACTGTCCCAGTCCATAAACTTAACCCGAAAAGATTTTCAGGCTGGCCCAAGATCGCGCTACAGTCTTTCCAACCAAGATACAGTCAGTTCGCGAGACATAATCCTCTGTTGGCTGCGTGACAAAAAACGTAATCCACAACAAGGAAAAAATAGAGCGTTGAGTCTCTCGTGTTCCACTCCAATAAAAAGAATGAGTCAGATCTCACCAGCTCTGTCGATCTTCGGGCAATGTTTACTCACACAGTTTCTCAAACTTGGGTTCAAGCATGTCCTTCTGCTGGAAACGCATCCCCGAGTAAACAGTCCAGGTGGTTAACATATTTTTTGTCCCATTAAAGCCATCTCTTGACGTATCGGTTGAAAAAATTCTCAAACCCTAAGGAAACCCAGCTTTAACTCTGTGACGCTGAAGTTAACAAAACTGGCGCGCCTCTCTCTTCAAAACACATCACCACCATTAAAAAAGCTTAGGTGCGCCTTGTCCCGTAATCAAGGCCATCCGCAACCTTAAAGGGATATCCCCCATTATTACCAAAATACACAGTAGACACTTAGTATATTAACCAGGAATACATACGAACCATATACATGACATCCATCATTCATCATACATGAACATTACTCATAACCCATGTAATACGTTCTATGACACCATAACAGTTAATATTTTAAAGACACCTTTACATTAATGTGATAATGTTACAACGTCACTCCAAAATGGCGACTCACAAGCTAGATAGCTTGCTAGAAATTACTAAATTAATTTGGTCATATCTGTGGTTTTAACAACTTTTTTAAAATAAAAATTTAGGCAAAGTGATTTTTCTAATATATGTAGTTACTACCAGTGCCGAAACATGGACGTTTCATTTCCCCTTAAATATGAATTATTTTTAAGTTAACATGCAATACAGATACAGATTTAACTAACGTTACTGTGACTGTAAAAAATCTTAAAATTAAATAAAACCACTTTTCCTAAAGTAAAACAGTCTTCTTTTCAATTAGTGATATATGCATTCTTTAGAACTACTTGCATACATTATTCTTTCAAGCAGACATATTTATTTGTATGAATTAAATATAAATGAATACTTATTAAAGCTATTAACAAACAGTGAATGCTTTTTTCTTTTGTTGCTTGATCAAAATGAAGGACACAGACCGCATTAAGTTTATTACCCACTGTCACTTTAAGACATCGGATCCAATTGCACTGATGCACATCCGATACACTCACAACCGTTTAAGACATAACCAACCAATGTATAACCAACATGAATACTCTCCAAAACGGACATTTAGACATAATGCTATGTGTATTTGTCCATTCAGACGCGAAAGAGAGCTCAGTTTAGGACTCGCGCGCTGTGTCTCTATGTGTATGGCTGCACGCTTGTGTGTGCGTGCAGAAAACCGTACTGAATAGAGCTCTTTTTTGCGTCGTCACTCTTATTCAGATCTATATGTCTGCCCTACTCATTCTCCCAGACGTTTTCACTTTTTTTTTTTTTTTTTAGTTTTATGAGACCGCTGTGTAACGATCAGCAAATTACAGTACACATGTGCGCATCTAACACAAACGCAGGACATCAGTTCTGACTGAATCGCTTCCCAAATAGTCACTATTTAACATTTTCGTCTAGTTTTTATTAGTTGACGAAAATGTCAATAGATTTTCGTCATTCAAAACTAGGTTTTATTTAGTTATCTCGTTTTCGTCTGTGAAAAAATGTCGATGACGAAAATAATGACAAATACACTGGCCGCCATTAATGACACATGGCAGAAAAAACGCAGCTAACATTACCCAGTGTGTAGCCCGGTCTCGGCAGGCCGCCACAACTAGTCCACCTATACAGCCTAAATGCATAAATACTGAACGAGCCATAGATATTTAAACTAACGTTAACGTTGAGGTATTGACCGCTTCGGTCCTTGGCTGCTAACGCTTGTCGCCGCCATGTTAGACACACACACACAACAGAAATTCGGCATCTCTTCTTTTACTTTTATTTGTCAACAGGCCAGTTTTGCCCCGTCCAAAATTGCGGCGACGAAGAGCAACACATAAGTTAACCAAAGCAGTCAACGTGACTAACGTTAAAAGTACAAAGGTAGCACTAACGTTAGCTAGCCACCATAAGTTAACGTTAGCCAGCCAACTCCCTTAAACTTTGAAGAGTGAAATTAGGCTCGATTTTAACTGTTGCACACATTTCGGTCAATATTACCGTATTAACGATATTTGACAGTAAGATTCTAATCAGCTACAACAAATGAATACTTACCTACTTTTATGTAGTCTCGACCACCAAACGTTGCCCTGGCGTTGCACCCAGAGGATGGAGAGATGGGCGAAAAGAGCGCGCTGTCCCGCACATGCGCAAAGGGCGGTCCCGTATGACACTTTTTTTTGGCGATCCAACGTAAATCAATCTCATAGGTGGAGCTATTAATACATTTTTAGTTAAACCACTTAAATATATATACATTTGATCTTAAATAGATATATTTAAATAAAGCTAATTATATTTAAATGTGTCACCTCTAAGAAGGACTTGAATCATTTTTTTTGAGTGTGTATGCCTTGTCTGTAATGGAACTAAATAATATATATATATATATATATATATATATATATATATATATATATATATATATATATATATATATATATATATATATATATATATACAGCCTACCTTTATTTTTATATATATATATATATATATATATATATATATATAAAGGTAGGCTGTGTGTAGCGTTGAAAGGTCAAAGTCCTAAATTCTTCAGACGGGTAAAATGGCCGTTTTTAACTTAATTTTTGCAAAGAAATGTAGTGTTTCAAAACTGCATGATGTTTTAGAGCTGCCTTAGCATATTAACATCATGAGCCAAGTATTGTTTAACACCAATTACCAGTGTGCGCATTAAAATGTCGGCTACCTCAAAAAAGAGGAATTTAATTATTTGTATATGTCCAGTTCAGATAGCTTTACTGCTTAAAAGTCCTAAGTTTAAAATAAACTGATGTGACGTCTTCCTCTGTAAGAGTGAGCATCAGTAGCGTGAGTCGCATTGGAGTGACGTCAACTCCCCTCTTCGTTAGATTGGCTAGAGGAGGAGCTGTCAATCTAGAACTAGTGGACCAATGGTGACGCTTAAGCCCACCCTAATTTACATGAAACTCGAACTGCAACATTTGGAAGAGCAAGCGCAGAACATGGAAAGAAGAGCGAAGAGAAAAACAGCACAAGCATACAAAAAAATAAATTATGAGCAGAAAATGAAAGAGAGCGCAAAGTACAGTAATAAAACCAAGGAAAACATCATTTTAAAGAAAGCATGAACACAAGTTAAAGTTTTGTGAAAAATATTTTTTAATGTGTTTAAAGTTTTTATTCATGCTTGTCAATTTTTGATTCACGCTTATTATATTTTGATCCGTGGCCGCAA